TTTTTGGTTGCAGCCATCATTGTTGTTTGGCGGGCCCGGGCTGGGGATTCGAACCCGCCACCTTAGGTGTACGTGGCTGGCGCCTTAGCAGGTTGAGCTATAGGCGCTGAGCCAAAACTTAAAATTTTTCTGTTACAAATTTATAAAAACTGGCTCGGCGCCTGTGGCTCAAGTGGCTAAGGCACCAGCCACATACACCTAAGGCGGGTCCGGGCTGGGGATTCGAACCCGCCACCTTAGGTGTACATGGCTGGCGCCTTAGCCGGTTGAGCTATAGGTGCTGAGCCAAATCTCATTTCTTTACTCAGCACAGTGTCCCTGGCCTATAGTAGGGGTTATCCTTCACATCACCTTTTCGCTCCCCTTCCATATTCAATCTATCACTAAATATCAGCAATATAAAAACACATTTTTTGGATGCTTATGCTGGGAAAATGCTTTACACATATTCATTCACATAACACAGTCGATCTACTTTCCTTCTCTATCACATCCACTATAGTTCAAGGTAGAGGCACCTTGCCTAAAATAGTGCAAAAGCTTTTCTAAATCCCAGGTCATGAGCTTGAGTTACTCCTTTCTATTTTATGCCACACTCTCGTCGTTGGGCTTTTCACTGTCTCTCTCTTGTTTTATATAATTATGTCCTTTTAACCCTTTTCTCCAACCCCTCCCCTTTCACAATAGAGTGGGAATGTCCTGGTAAAACGTACCGTTTGGTGTTTATGTGTCAGTGCCCACTGTGGCACCCCATCACCGTGCAAATAAAACAGCCGGGACACAGATCAGAAGTACATGCTTGCAGGAGGTGGACTTCCCATAGGCACAGGGAAGCCCCAAGTAACCTTTGCTGTGGCCTTTTATTGAAGCATTATACAACAGGTGTGGGGGCCCCATGCACAAGAACTATGCGCTTAATGATTGCTACGTGCTCTTTCCTCACAGCTCGACTCCCACCCTGTTGCATCACAGATGTCCAAGGTTCAACTCCTGCTTGCTAAGGAGTGACTGCATGCAGTTGCTTGAGGGCTTGTCTCCAGGCTACAAAACATCTCCATGCTGGCTATTGTCCCCCTCCCAGTGCCTCTCTCAAGAACTGATGACTGCTTCTACAAGCCTGGTGCTCAATCAGTCTCCTACATGTATGTATTTTCAATTTACCTAAATGTGTGCTATAAATCTTCCATTTCTTTTTTGTTTTTCTCTCAGCACTGTAGTTTGAAGACCCATCCTTGTTGTATGTACACTTAGCCTATAACTTAAAATAACTGTGTAGCATTTCAATGTGGGCACCCACATTCCATGATGGACCTCTAAATTGCCTCCAACTACCGGCTAACACAATACCACAGGGATCCTTCTGACTCAGCCTTCCAAGTAGCTGGGACTATAGGCACCCACTACCACATTGCTCATGTTGGTCTTGAACTCCCAAGCTCAAGAGATCCTCCTGCCTCTGCATCCCAGAGGGCTAGGATTATATGGGCTTGCTTGAGGGTTGTTGACATCTTCTAGGCAAAGCCAGCTACACATCTTTCACCTTGTCCCTGTTCATGCCTGCTCATCACCCATTTGAAGAAAACAAAAGTCTCTCCCACATGATCTGACCTCCAAAGGGCTGCAGGTGAAGGAAACTAACTATTCAGGATGTAATGGTTTTTGTTCCAAACACATCAGGAAAAGCCTTTTCATGGCCAGAAGGTGGCATAGTATGCAGGGAATCCAAGGGAAGAGAATGATGCAATACATTAACTCTTTTTTTTTTTTTAGACAGAGCCTCAAGCTGTCCCCCTGGGTAGAGTGCCCTGGCATTACAGCTCACAGCAACCTCCAACTCCTGGGCTCAAGCGAGTCTCCTGCCTCCGCCTCCCAAGCAGCTGGGACCACAGGCGCCCACCACAACGCCCGGCTATCCTTTGGCTGCAGCCGTCATCGTTGTCTGGCGGGTCCGGGCTGGGGATTCGAACCCGCCACCTCAGGTGTACGTGGCTGGCGCCTCAGCCGGTTGAGCTATAGGCGCCGAGCCAATACATTAACTCTTAAACGTTGCCTTTTTTCTGCTTATAAACTAGATATGCATTGCGGGAAAAGCCAAACATTGCAAGGATCTTTTAATAGAACTTACAATACAGGTGTTAGGACCTAACTCGCCACTGAGAGACCACCATACACACATAAAAAAACAAAGAAGTGCTTTTTATGCAAATGCAAGCATATGCCTGGGTCATTCCACCCTACAGTGTAGGAGGGGCGACCCCGAAGGGACGCGAGCTGAGGTTTTTAAAGCGTATAGAGGAATTTCATCGGGTGTTTTGTCGGGCGGGGTTGCTATTGGCTGAGCTGTTTATGGTTAGGGACTTTCTAGAGAGGGAGGCTGCTTGTCTGTTTCTGATAGACTGGCTCCCTCTGAGCTGATTGACCTTGCCCAGAAATGCAGGGGGACCGGTCCGTTTTAGACTGGCTGCCCAGAAGTGCAGGGGAGGGAGCTAGTCTTTTTCTGATAGACTGATTCCACCTGGGCGACCTTGCCCAGGAGGGGAGTGGGGAGTTAGTTCCAAGCTGGAGTTACATTAACCTTTTCATTCTCAAATGGAGTTACATTAACCTCTTCACAGGGAGTAAAAATTCGCCGTGATCCCACCTCGGATATAACCGCTATGGTGAGTTTGGTGCACAACTCATTGCCCAGGTCCACCTTTTATTTTCAATAACTAAAATAACATTTCTTACAAAAATAGAATCACAGATTGCGCGGCCTCTCGTTCCTGGGCAGTGCAGGGCTGTGTCAGGCTCTGGCTGGCTCTCGCGGGCGGAGGGGCCGGCGAACAGGCGACTTCGGGGTACGTTTCCCTCCGAGTGGCCCTGTGCCCTGAAGCCCCGGGGGGCGGTGTCCGTGTCCCGAGGGCAAAGGCTGGGGCGCCAAGTCTGCACCCGCCACGCAGTGAGCCCCCCAGCGGCTCCAGCACTCCAAACAGGTGCCCAGCGGCCCAGGAAGGTGCTCATACTCTGCAAGAGATTAAACGCATTTTCTCTATGAGGATGCATTGATGTTTCAGATTGGGCAAGCGCTAAGAGAGCTCACAGATCACCGTAGCTGACCCCTAGCAGCCTGCCTCAGAACTCCACCTTTGAAGATCAGCACCCCGCAACGGCCCCTAGGAGTGGACCGTCCACGAATGGCCACACAGAAAGTCAGCTAGGTCACATGAAACCTGAATTGTTGTCCTGCCCAGAACCTTCACCAAAAGTTCCAATGTGATGTCGCCCACCCGGTTTTTTGTTTGTTTGGATCCATTTAATTATTAAGTTATCTACATACAGTAACTCCTTTATTGCTTGCACTTGGAGCATGGACGCTGTCTGCTGCCCATCCTGCACAAAATGTTTCCTTAAAATCCCTTCCAGGGCGGTGCCTGTGGCTCAAAGGAGTAGGGCGCAGGCCCCATATGCTGGAGGTGGCAGGTTCAAACCCAGCCCCGGCCAAAAAGTGCAAAAAAAAAAAAAATCCCTTCCAGATATTTAGGAGCTTTATGGTATGACCCAATTGCTACAAAAAGTTTAGCTTAAATGAAAAACTGTAATATAAAGTAACTGTATCTGTAAGGAGACATTTTAAGCAAAAGGGTTTGGAAAATCTGAATGTCTACACCTGGGTAAGCACTAGCCATCTGTGTTTTCTTTTTTCTAGGCGACTGTCATAAATATGCTGAATCACCACATATGTGTCAATAGAGCTAATGAAACAGGAAATGTTTTAAACATAGCTCTGAGTCTTTTCTCCACTCACCCAGAGGGACCCATCTCGCTCTCCAGATTTGTTTTCCCTATAGTTTATGTACTTTTGTTCTATAATAAATGTATGTTGCTGGTGAAAAACAATAATACACATAGCATTGAACTAGGGGTCAGGAAGCTATTAACTCCTAAACCCACCACTAGAATCCCCTTGTACTTTTTTGGTTAACTAAATGCAGTATGCTCTCCTTTACCTTTCTTCCTGGGACACTGTTTTGGGACCTCCTGGTCTATCTGACTTCTGCTCATCCCTCCCAGGTCAGCTCACACCTTGCATTCTCTGGGAGTTGCTCTCAACCTGGATTAGGTACACCTGCAGCCTGAACGTATTTTTCTCACATTACTTACTAAACTGAGTGATAATTTTCTGCTTGTTAGGCATTACCATCCACTATCTTATCTTACAAGTGCCTGCACTACAGGTACCATGTTCTGTTTACTTTTATTATCTAGCACCAAGCGCATGACTGGCTTATGGGCAGTACCCTAAACATTTGTAGATGGGAGAATACTGGCCAATCTGGTCCTCATTCTCCTTTTCTGTTAAGTGGAGTTTAGCTTCCTCATCTGTAAAATGGGGGTAGGTTTGCTGATCTGTAGGGAGACTTCCAGTAATAGAATTAATTTTTCTACTTTTTTTTTTTTTTGAGACAAAGTCTCACTTTGTCATGCTCGGTAGAGTGCTGTAGTGTCACAGCTCACAGCAACCTCAAACTCTTGGGCTTAAACGATTGTCTTGGCTCAGCCTCCCAAGTAGTTGGAACTACAGGCGCCCACCACAATGCCTGGCTATATTTTTGTTGCAGTTATCATTGTTGTTTAGCAGGCCTGGGCCAGGTTCGAACCCACCTGCCTCACTGTATGTGGCCAGCACCCTAACTACTGAGCAATGGACACCAAGCCCTATCCTACTTTTTTTAATATAAAAGAATTGACTTATTATAGTTCAAATATATAAACTGAACATTCAAACATCTAAAAATTAAACCTTAAGAACAAAAGTTTAACATTCAAACAGGAGTATAGTTTTTAGGTAATTTGCTGTCTAATCCAGAATACTGCTAAAGATCACTTCATGATGAATAAAATGTTTCACCAGCAGTTCTATTGTAGCCAACCCATAATGACTGTGGTTCCATACCTAAAAATCAATTGCTAAATAGATCTCTTAGGCAGAAAAAGACTTAGCCAAACAACAAAACTTCAGTGAATTAAACTGTTGTTTAGAGATGAAGATAAAAGCATGTCCATTGCAATAATTTTGGTTTCTGGAAGGTAATTTAATTTTCGGTATTTTACCTACTTTAAAAAACAAACTCCAACTTAGGTTTTCTTGAAGTCCATGATATTTGCATCTTGCAAACCACATATGTTCTTTTTCTTTCTTTCTATTTCTTTTTTTAGAGGCAGAGTCCCTCTCTGTCCTCCAGGTTGGTTTGCAGTACTGCCATCAGAGCTCACCGTAACCTCAAACTCCTGGGTTCAAGCTATCCTCCACCTCAGCCTCCTAAAGGGCTAAGATAACACGTATGAGCTACTTTGCCTGGTCCACATATGCTCTTTAAAAGTCTTCCATGGGCCTTTGACCCAGACTAGGCCCAACATGGAGGGGCACCCTGAGACTCCCTGAACTACCCCAAAGGGAGGAACTGACTGGAGAGGGACCCACTTAGGCCTCCTCAGCTACCCCACAGGGAAGAGCTGACTGGAGAGGGGCGCCCTGAGGCCCTGTGAGCTACCCCACGGGAAGAATGTTCACTGGTGATGGGGCACCATGAGTGATCAATAAATGTTATATGTTGGCTCAGCACCCATAGCTCAGTGGTTAGAGCACCGGCCACATACACCAAGGTAGGTGGGTTCAAGCCTGGCCTGAGCCTGCTAAACAATGACATCTGCAACAAAAAATACCTGGGTGTTGTGGTGGGCACCTGTAGTCCCAGCTACTTGGGAGG